ATGCATAGAGGCTAGCCAACAAGAGAATATAGAAAGATTGCACAACTGCTGTTACATGGACAAACGTTTGCAGTTCGATTTATGCACCATTGATCACAGACGGATGTGTTTACTTTCAGAATTGTCTGCCGTGGACTTCATCCTGGATTGAGCTTTTTTACGTCCTGGCAGGGACGACTTACATCATACACTGCGCTGTTCAATTGCTGTTTCGTTGTATCGTTAAGTGGGTCGTGAACTTATAAAACAGATAAACAAAAAATGTGAACGTTCCAAACTTGTAAACAGTCCTCATACAACAGTGACACGAAGTTGTGTGCTGACAACAACATTTGAATAGCCGCGAACTCCGAAAACTTTCTATCTCAAGTCATAACTTCAACGCGGTGAACTCGTAAGATAAAGTTGATAGAAGTCAGTCGGTCCCCTACAGCTATCCATCTAAAACTAAAACCTATGCCCATCCGACAACCGCGTTTGAAGACAGATCAGACAGCAGCTGTTTCTGCCAAACAACCGGTAACGCATCAACCATTCCGCCCTAAATCCAAGGCAATAAACAGAAACAGGACGGCAGACATCAGTTTACAATCTCCGAGGAATACTATACAGTCAAGGCTAATGTGAACTGCTGGAGGCTACCATAAACCACCAAGTCTGGTCAGGGTTACTTCCGGGCCCCTACGAGAGAATCATTTTCAGGACGCTTGCAGTTTTCGGTGAACAACACTGAACTGAACTGAACTGTGGTCAAAATTCCATTTCTTCTTGCCATACTTTTCCGCCCACCGGAAGATAGAAAAGATAGAAAGATAGGAAGAAAGATAGAAAAGATATTTCCAGACCCACTGCCAGCGTGAATATAACCAAGCGAAATAAAACGAGTGTTAGAAACACTTTCAATCAGTTTGTGAAAACTCGGTGGTGAACATGAGTGGATATTTCTATAGAGGAGAATGTCGGTAGCTCAGGTAGCGTAGATGGTCGTTGGCTTGTTCGCATTTGGTTGCATGCAACCAAACCGCCCACCCCAACGAACAAGCCAACGACCATGAGTGGATATAAAAGGTGGGATTAAGTCAACAAACAAGGAGTTACGCAGAACAGAGTTTAATGTTCTACAGGCAAATGTGAGAATGTAGGAAGAAATATTGGGAAACTGCCAATGGGTGGGGTTAATGTGAAAACCAGATGCTAAAACGAGGTGCAAAATTCGGTTGAACGTCAAAAGAGGCAAAGCGCATATCGCTTACATTTATGTCCACGATCTCTTATACAACATGTAAATTGTCAGTGAGTGTAAATCCTGAGAGCTTTTGTCCACCTGGTTCAAGTATGGCCAGTCAGTCGATTGGTGCCGGCTATAGTAGTGAATGCCAAGTGAATATACGGCTTAGGTAGCCTGTATAAGCCGTACAACGAAGCAAAGTAGATTACATTCGACTCAGGAACGCAACAGAAGAAGTCAGCAGTCAATTTTCGGTTTGACAGTAATAGTAGCAGGTCCCAGAATGCAGGCCATCATTCTGTTGCGACCATCTTTTTTGCTGGGACCCAATTCAAGTTTAATTCGGTCTTCGAAAATAGTTTTTGCCCCATGAAAACTTTCCAGTTGACCACGAGCCAACATGGTATAGTGAGTGAATGATGAAATGCGATATCGATAGGCCAGGTTAAATACTTTCTATTCAAGCCCAAATCGGGTGGTTATGCTTTTCGATCATAGTCTTCCGTAGTAAGAGGCGCATATCTCCTTTTGTTGGGCTTACAGCGACTGTTTGAACGTTTCCACTGTTTGTGGCTTGAAATTACTTTTGAAAGCCCAATTCAAATGGTCTTTAATCTAGATGGCAGCGCTTAGATTTTTCGCGATTCGACTTTCATACCTTAAAACGATGCTCATTTATGATATCAGTACTTAACAGGGTGAACAGTTATCCAACCACCGACGCATCCTTACTAAGCTATCCCTTACGGTTCTCCAATCAGTTTGGTTGCAGTTCGCCGAATTTTCCAGCTGGTGGTTTATTTCTGTAGATCCATGCACAAGGAGACTGGAGCTTCAAACTTCAAGAGCAGAGAAAGAAGCGAATTCACCAACTCTTGCAACGTGTCTATCGTCGAGTATATAAACTACTGCCATGGAGTAGTAAGGCGCGATTATTTTTTTTCTCAACCTACAGGTAACAGCGTTTTTTCATGTTCAACGAAATTCTGAAGGATGTCTAGCTCCCTTGGATTGCTCGTATCTCTCTTTTGCGCACCCCTCAGGCATAGATGAGAGAGAATTGTAATTCAGTATTTATATTTTAAGGGGCTTTGGACGTAAAACTCAAGTCATCGGTCTACTGTCTTTTGGACCGAACGCCACTGCCCATGACCGAGAAGCCTGATTCACGAAGGGAATCTGGCGCCGTGTTAGCCTACTGAAGGTAAAATTTTACAGCAGTGACAAGCAAGACGTCATGGTCATCAGCACCGAAATCCCTTCTACTTCCAAAACGGATGTTATTATTAAGCGCCAGACAACGTTTTTTGGTCAGTCCGCTCGATCCAGTATGATGAACGGTAGGCGTTAACTGTGCATCACGAACCAGTGCTGCTCTACCAAAATGAAAATGCAGTACAATGTATTCACAAGGAACATCCATTGTGTTCATAGTGCCACCATCTTCTCCAGGACGATTCTTTGGCAAAGTGGCCAGTAGATTCTGTCGGCGGTTCTATACAATGTCTTCAGTATCGCCTTCCCCGTATCCGCACGCAAGATTCATACGATGGAGGCATAATCTTTGCACCCATGTACTTTCGCCTTTGTCATTCTGCTCGCGAATGACATACTCAAACTTATCCCGGACGTAATTGTGGATTTTCACCTCTAACTTGAGAAGTAGTTTCGTTTCTCGGCTGCTCATCACTGATCCAAGTTCCGAACACCGACATTGTTGGTCACTGTTGAACAGTTGTAAAGAAAGCGAAACTCGAGTCCATTGCTTCACCTCTTTACTGTGGACCCCGAATGTTTTGGACTTTGTTGGTTAAAATAACAACCAGCGCAGTTCAAAATAGAAAGTATAACTAACGTCTGGGAAAAAACAACGCCCGCGTTTGAATTTCCCCAAGTCCGGGTGACAAAATCAATGGACCACTTCCAAAGTACTAATCAGGGCAGGGAAACAAATATTTCAGTGTGATTTCTGTACCCCTTACAAGCATACCACTTGTTCTGCGATGCCAACATTCATGGAAGGCACCCCTAATTCCATACACTTGTGGCAGTGGTGGCCGCCACAATGCACACGACTAATCCAGCCGCCAAATTCTCGCTGAAGTTTCGAGGAATAGTAGGACGTTGGAAAGCAGGCCAAAAGCATTCGTGGAATGTAGACCAGACGGAAGATTCACTGAGTGAGAAAGGACTACTGGAGGTGGTTCTACAAGCGGACATGTCACCCCGTACAAGAGGAAATGCCCAAAACCTTTCACAACCCGTAGCCTTTGTGAGGGAAAAGGAACTGGGACCACAACATACCAAACGCCAGCGGTTGGTATGACGGTGGACGAATCCACAAGCGAATAGTTCGGCTCGTCTAGCTTACCTCGTATTCTGCCACAATTTTCATTATTTCACCAATCAATGATCAATTTATTAACTAATCCTGTTCAGCAAGATACTTCAGCAAAGAGCGCACGGTTTAGGATAATCCAAAACAGACTCTGATCATCTGCTTTCTAAAGGACTATCAAACTATGCATTCAAAACACCTCTGAAAAAATGCTCTAATGAAAATCCACTTGTTAAAGTTATTAAACTGTTTAGCTACACAGTGATGTCCAACTACCCCGATATCGCGTGATCTGAACTGTCATCGTCACTGTTTGAATGAAGTAACCCCCTCAGCTAATGATTAATTTAGGGGAAGACCGTGGGGAGGCAGCCGGGAACAAATATCGTTTCGCACAAGCAAAGTCATCAAATTTTACGTATATACAAGCTCACCTCTGTATTTGTAGCCTTCAAAACATTCGTTCACTTCTTCGTTGAATAACGATGGACTGGAAAGTAGGAGAACAGAATGCTTAGAAATCTAGGGGTAGAATAAAGTTAGACCAAAGCATCGAACCTAGGATGAATAACCCTAGGTCAATAAATTGAGGCTGCGATGGGTGACGGTTGAACAACGCATGGTTTACTTCGTCGAAAGTCGTTAAACAAATGCTCAGAAACTGAATGTATGAACTGTGAAACACTGATAAATTAGTGAAGACTTGGGAAATTTACCGTTCATGCATTCAGGTTCAACAAAGTAATCTGAGAGACAGAGTTACGCTTGCATCTTTGAACTCCATGAGAACAGATACGTCTGAATACTACCTCAGACCAAAGTTCTATCAGCGGACTGGATGCGGCGCTCTTTGCAAAAAAAAAAATCAAAAATCTTGGTCATCTGTCCAAGGAATGATGGCACGGTTGCCACGGAGATCGGTTTTTTGCCATGTCTTGGATACTTTCTAACTACATGCTTGCAGCATCCTATGACCCATGAGGGAAAGAATATGGAGTCCGCTTGACAGTAACCGCCTTTGTTTCACGTTGCCTGAATTGTGTGGTTCTTTTGCCACCAATGACTGAGCACGGGTAGCAATGCTTTCCGTGGTAGACCACACGGGAAATTGCGAATTACGTACGTAGTCTATGATTCGGTTTTCTACTCCAATTACTCTGATTCCTCACCACTTTTTGTATACATGCTGGAACCAGGCTAATTGGCCAGCGTCTTCAATGAAGAGAGCTGATTTCGCTTTCTGACTCATTATTTTGACTCTGCAAGTAGCCACAGAAAGAATATAATAGCAAACGAAATTTTCTGTTCTACTTATAACGATCTACGGAAGCCGATCAACGACCCGTTATAGAACAGCCTGCCTAAATTTAATATCATTCCAGACGCCGTCGATAACATTGTGACCCACATTTTCCTTCTTTATCCTTTGTTCAGGGTGCTCAAATAGCTTTTGCTCAGTTCAACCGGGACCCTGAGCTACAGTCACACATCAGTCTTTTTGCTGCATTGGCTCCAGTGGCCTACCTCGGTAACGTGGCAAGTCCCATCCGCTATATAGCCCCGTTTGCGCGAACAGTGGAACGGGTGTGGGATTTGTTTGGGCATGGGGAATTCTTGCCATCCACCAGATTACTTCATTTTCTTGCTTACTTCGTCTGTGGCCGAGGTCACGTTCCGTTTGTGTGCTCCAACGCGGTCTATCTGCTCGCCGGTTACGATGCAAGGAATACAAATCTTGTGAGTCGGTTGATTTATTGTTGGTTGATTGCTTCCTGGCTTGCCTACCTGACTGTTTAACGGATTAAATGATCGATTGATTAATTGATTTTCTGTCAAGTCAAATGCTATGATTCTTTCTGTTGAGCAAGAGAGTGGTTAAGTATAATGCACCCACTCGCTTGTCAGGAGACACCGGCAGGATAGCGAATACGGCGCGATATCGGGTGTTAGGAGGCCCGGTTTTCCAAAAGAGGGCAATTTTAGGAATGTTGGTTTTCTGTAGGCTACAAAGAATTGACTGCTGGTTTACAACAGATATGCCAAAGTAAAGGCGAAGTACTGCAGTAGTGACGAGTAAAGAGATGCCTAAGGATCCTCTCATTAAACGCATATGCGGTACTTCTCAGTTGGCCAGAGTAGTAAACAACCCATGGTGTATGGATTCTTCGCATGATCGGACATAGCTCAAATGCATAAAGCAAGGATGAGTACGGATTCTCTCATCACCTTACTAATCTGCTACAGAATTACGTCATTACCTTGGCTACTGCCCTGCTTTGTGAGACCAGAGAGCTTGTCTGGACCAAAACCGTTATTCTACTTGCTATAAGCAAAATAGGATGTTTTCGTGCAGCGCGTATATTAAAACCAACAGAGTTGCAAAATAAAATGTTACCTACAATTATCATTTATTTTTGAAGAGCATGGTCACAAACATAAAAAGTGAATGCAAACGATGAATGCGAAAGAGTAACAGGAGAATATGGGAGAAAAGAGAGAAACGTCTCATTCGAAATCATGCCAAGGACAGTGCCAGTCTGGTGAGGTGAATCCCAAAGCATGTAAAGATTTTGGTATGGGAACAGGCGTCTAAAGACTAACAACCAAAGAAAGGACCAACAATGGTGAATGCTCCTCAAGGCGCAGTATGCGCTAGCACAGTCAAGACTCGCACATCAGGCACAAAGTGACCGTCATACTGGGTCTGGGGTGAGATTAAATGGCAAAAATGTACCTTCAACGCCATGTGCCACGCATAAAAGTGTCATAAGTACGCAGAGAGCCCACAATCGCAAGCAAACAAAAGTCACTGACTGCGACCTTAGGAAGTCCCAGTCCAATAACAGCCTTAGCGGATTGAGGAAAGCAGATCCCTCGATAAGAGATGATCACCGGTTGTCAGCGCTGTTGTGCAGACTTTCACCCCAAGCAGCCACCAGCTCCTCCTTGGTGTTTACGCATGCTCCATGGACTCGGATCGGAAGGCTGAGATCCCGAACAATTTTGCCGAATGCGGAATCGTTGACCACATTGCGTAGTACTCGGCACTGAGTAGAGAGGAGCTTTTCCATACGCGTTTTCCGCTGCATCGGGATTGTTGCACTCGGACTTGGGATACCAAGTCCCCCATGTTGTTTACCGGCGTGGATGTAGCTGATTGGGGTGTCCTTCGGTAGACGTAGCCAGCCACGTACATATTGCCTGATGTAGTTGTCCAATCTTTTTAGCATGTTTCTGTGGACTTGGCCGAGCACGAGCGAATATGTCAGCCTTGGCATCAGGTAGTTCCTCGTGATATCCATTCTTTGATGCGGCTTCAACGGGGCACGCATCACTTTGGTATTTATTGAATTCCTCTCAACTGTGGTACCCTTCTTCTGCAGTAGTCCTTTACAAGGTAGGCTGTCGAGGTGAAGCAAACATGGTTTATCAGCTAGGGCGATTACTTGTCTTTTTCGATTAAGCCTGACGTACAGCAGAGTATGTAAAACTTATACTGGATACTGCACTAGTATTCACCTCCCCACGGCCCCTTTTGTGAATTGGCGACGAAGGTTGTTAATTCGAAATCATCGATCGTATCACACGTATTTGCCAGAGTATATATATATATATATATACATATATCAAATAAGCATACAGAAGACACTTTGAATGACCGGAACATTCACTAGGACGAGGATACACAAACTACGGTGAAAGGACTTGTTTCTTTCGGCCCAATAAAACTAGTAGCTGAGCTGAAGCCCCAGGTAGAAAGATCCAGCGTTTACAGGTAAAAGCCATTTACACGTTGAGTTCAATGTTTCGTAGGCAAAATGCCTCGTAATTGAATCACAACCGCAAACCTCGCCCATTTTTAGGTCGTCGGGAAGAGACAATTGTCAATAACTTGAATCTTTCCTTATACGTACTGCATGAATAGCATGAACAGGTATGGTAATCAGACCTGGGAGAAAGAGGGTGGGGTATACAGCTGTCCACCCACCCCCTGTATGTCGTATTTAAGCCACCGTAGTTCTACTGCAGCCATAATATATCGATTAGCTAGAAGACCATAGATAGGAGTTTAAAAGAGGTCTATTGGGCGAGAATTTCGGTCAGTTTAAAAAAAATTGCTTGTTGCGTTAACACAGCATCCAGAGGGATCTGGACAGCCAGATACCCAGGTCTGTAAGTCACACTTGTTCTTTCTATTTACACAACTTTTTTAACAGTTGTGCTCGGTGCTAAGTAATTATGCAAGAAAACGGTTCAACGCCAAAATGTACAAAGTCTCACTAAAATAGCAAGCGATACTCACCTAACCGTCATGATGATAAGCCCGAAGCAGTGGTCTGTCGCACTACTCAAAGCATTCACGTCTGTCGTATCCTTTCTTTCTTTGTTTGATCAAACAGACGTTACCTTTGCAACGCGGAGTCTCATCAGGTGTATAGTACCAGAAACAGCAAAACAGTTGGATACACACATTTTATAGACGGGTGGGCCAGATAAGTGTAGATATATAACTCTAAATTACACTTTCTGAGCACGCATGGCCTGCAGCCTTACATCTTTCTGGATCGATTTAATCAGCCCAACAACCATCGACTTCGGTTTGCGTAGCAAGATCGATAATGGGTTGTTTCAGCAGTACAACGATCACTGAATCAGACGAAATGCACTCATTTTTTGGTGGCGTGAGAAGATTTGATATTTTTGTGGAGATTTCGTCCCATAAGTGAAGCCAATGTATGTTGGAAAGCCGAGAAACGCTGTACAGACGTTTCATCCTTACTGAGAGTAATCAGTAGTGCGCATCTCACGAAATTCATTGTGCTACCTCACTAGAATACTTAAACCACCGAAACATCGTCTGTGTATCTTTCGGATTTTGATCTGTCAAGCTCTCGAGTTGATCGATAGTAACTGTGCGTGACCTACCCATGATATGGTAATGACTATTTCCACTGAGCAGAAACCCCTAGTGAGAAGCAACGCGTTGCGTTCCACAGATTTTACGGTTGGAACGGAAGGTGAAAAGTCCCCGCTGATGGACAGTGCAGACGCTGAACTGTTGAGAGCCTGTGTAGTTGATCGCTTGTTGGGGATAAGAGATCTAACTCTAACGTAAGACGCCAAACTTTCACCAACATAGTACTGAAACGGTTGGGTATTTTCGTGGACATTTCGTCCTGTAAGAGAAGCCAGTCTATGCTGGAAAGCCTAGAAGCACTGTACAACTGTTTCATCCTTATTGAGAATCATCAGCAGAGTATCGAAACCGCATCCTCCTGTCTAGTAATTCTAACACTTAACCGTTCGGCCAAGGGCGGCTGATCAGCAGAGTTGTTTACTCGCACTTGGGCAGAATATAGCGCCCTTCATTCTTCAATCACGAGATCAAAACACACATGGTCACACGTTTTGACGGACTCCTCAAGCAACGACTTTTCAGATGGAAGTTTTGCTCATCAGTGAATTTTATTCCGCCACTGCGCTACTTACGGGTTGTTGATCGTGTGAGGAGATTTGGGATCTATGCTGGGGGATTTATGCTGAAGTACTGTGCTCTTCGGTTTTTCAGCACAGATTGGCTTCTCTTACAGCGGGAACCCTCCACCTGAAATTCACTCACTTTTGGATGAATAGACAGTAAGTTATCACAAGGCCAAAGACATGCTTCATAGACAAAATTGTCCTACAAGACATTCGAAACCGAACTTTTATACATGTCAACTATTATGTTTACACAATTTCGAACCGTTGTCCTGACAACCGATTCGATCAAACATGATCTGACACAGCATGCTGTTTTAACAAACCAAATGATTGATGACCATGTTTATATTTCACACATGCCTGATAGGAGCACATTTAACTAATATTGTGCATTTACTATTCCCGCACCTGCCCAACACGTAGACGCGGCTCCCCGTCTATATCGCGCACACACCTGCAGGAACTTCTGCCAGGAATATGGTGCATTACTGTCAGGTAAGCATCGCCTTATTTTCAAAGACGGCCCTGTGATAAATGTTGCTAGTGTCCGAAGCGATCATTTATGAGCTACGCAAATGATCAGGTGTTTGCACATACGCATTTTGATTGATTTTGCAACCGTAATTTACTTATTTAACCGATATCTCTCTACCCATAAAGTTGCTGTAAAATATTTAGAATCTCTTGACCTGTTTTGTACCTATTGGGACTCATCAGATTGGGTCGACCCTTTTTCTACTTGATTGCCGAATTATACTCGGTACACTCGTTTGCAAGTCAAGCTGATATTCAACCAAATCCCATCCCAGCCTGCCATCTTCTTCACCTGAATGCACTGTTCAAAAGCTGACTGATGTTTCAGTTCGTACGACATTCACAACACATCGCAGTATATATTCTTGACTGTATTTCTCTTGGTGAGGTACTGAACAGTTTTGAGTAGTGTTATTAGTAATGTCAAGAAGATACTTTTCAATTCACAGAGTTTGCATTGAGTCTACTCAACTTTACCGAATAATACTCTCCTATATAGGTTCCACCTAGGCTCAACTTTGTAGTTCGTCAATCTTGTTTCCTATTTGAACACAAATGTGAAGATGCGCAAAACTGAAAGCCTTACAACTAAGAACCCGTTAGAAAGACACTCAGCAGGCTCCCTTGTTTATAATTCTACTCAGCTGAATATCCTGCGCAAGTGCTCCACAGGTTTCGGTTGGAACGCTTCGGTGAATATGAAGAAATTTTTGTGCTTTGGCATGGAATTGTAAAAAATGCACTTTATTGTGCATATTACGCAAACTTAAATTGAAAATCGCAAAGCTGAGGATCCCCCGGAAGCAGATTGCTTCCGAGAAGCTCTCCTTACCCTCTAAAGCTACTGAATTCTTCAAATACCTGGATTTATTGTGCCTAATACCGTATAGATGTTGGTGCGATTGGCAAACAGAATGTCTAACTGGAACAACAGTAGAAGGTAGTGATGCCCACCCTCTTTCCACGTAGATTAATTTCAGGTGAACTGGCGCTGACATATCCTCTGATGCCAACTCCCTTTGTGGGTGGTTTGAGGCGACCGGCTTAAATAATTCCTCTCCGATTTTTTGCTTATATTTTATATATATATATATATATATATATTTGCTTATATTTTTTGCTTATGCCAGTGGACATGCTTTTGGGAATCATTTCTACATCGCATTCCGGAGATCAAGTTTATTTGTGGTCGGACATTCATTTGGTGTCATTCATTAGTTTGAGCAAAATAAAAAAGGTACAAGTAATCCACCTTGTTTTGGTCCGCTAACCATGTACCTATTTGTCTCTCTCACTAGGGTATTTCAACGGACCAGTTTCAGGCGTTCGATTATGGAAAGGTAAAAAATATGGAAATTTACGGCCAGAAAACACCTCCGATATATGACCTGTCCAGGTTCACTGTTCCTACTGCCGTGTTCACTGGTGGTAATGATTGGCTGGCGGTCGAAAAAGATGTGGATCGCCTTATCAGTCGAATCAAACCAGCAGTTGTTTCCCACATAAACTTTCCAGAATATAATCACTTGGATTTTGTCTGGGGTATGGACGCCGCAATTGTCTTGTATCCGGAAATCCTGAAACTTTTGAACCAGTACTAATTGATTGTTGATTGATTTCAAGGAATTCCATATCTAAATGCGGAAGACAATCTCTGATCTCGTTTGGATGAGCTGCAGGCTGCATCAGTTTTGGAAGGCTAGGTTGTACGTGGAGCCATTTCGCCCTGAAGTATAATCTCTTGTGATTATATGTGCGGCTTTCAAAAAATACATACTGTTTTCTACAGCGGTCAGTTTTTCGATAGTCATACATCATAACGAGGCTTATTAAGTTTGGAATTTGAAACTACGTTCGCCTTCCGAATCTACTTACTGCCGCACCTTTTGAACAATAGAATCACTGTATGATTATCTCTTCTTTTCAACTTTCATTCGAATTCTATTAATAGGATACCCGGTAGAGGCGAACAGATAAACGCAATAGAGCCCTCCTAATTCCGTTCATACGTGTCCGTCAAAAGATAGCGAACCAGTGAGTTTGGCACAGGCGACGAATTTGATATTTTTGTCACTAGTAGTCAAGGCGTTGTTTGATGGACAAGATTCCCTCCATCTGAACTGCGTAGACACACTAGGTTTTAAATAGTCCCAATAATGTCTCAAGTTTCACACTCGATTTGTATTAAATTTTGTCCCATTCGTATGTGCAGATCAAAAATATTTCGCTTGTCCCGCCCTGACATCAATACTTCTGTTCAAGATCCCTTGACAGCGAGTATTCAGGACAAAACGGTATAGCTTTCACGAAGCCGCCATCTGAAGAACTGCAGACGGTGTAAAATAACCCTAAATGTTCTGCTAATCAGTCAGTATTAGACGTGCGCTCTGGTGCAGTACCGTTCCGCGTATACCGAGAGATGGCAAATATGTTGGAGTGATTACGGAAGCAGGAATACTGGTTTCCGGGATTTCCAAAATTCAAACTTCACGAAGACAAAAAGAAGCACAACAGGTCTCATGATACTTGATTTAATTGAACTGCGGATGGTGACCCCGACTTCAGAGTGTAACAAAATAAGTGATCGATGGTAGTGTGAGGGAATTGGGAACTTTTGGTTTTGGTTTAGTGCAGTAAGTAAATTGTAGGTGATTGTCCGGTTCTCTTGACCACTTCGATATGGAGGTCGTTTTGAAAAAAAATTACAGAAAACTGAATAGCTACACAATGCCCGAGTGTGTTTCGCCGGATCTTTTCACATACATACTAAGGAATAACATTAGATAAAATGTAAAATACACAATGAAATGTGTAATGAGTGAAATACCTTTGAAGCCTAAGTAGAACCCCCTAATATCTAAACCTGATTTCGAAGCTTATTTACCAGCTTTTAAGCTCGAGTTATTAAAGCGATTGGACACAGTTTCATATTCTATTTTTGATCGTGACAAGTAAACGCAAATAGTGATGCACGATTCGTGTTGTAGAATGCTGATAATGCCACGGTTTTTCGTGACTTATCAAGCTTTAATATTAACAAGACGAGTATATATGCCAACGGAGAGAAGCGGGAAAATAAATAGAAAGAGGATTACAAAATATCAATTCGCTCAGTCGTACTCTATTTTTAGTTTTCCACCAATCTCCCGAAAGTGTCTCAAGGAAGTGTGATACTGGGGGTAGTGCACCACAGCTTGTAGCACTAACTGTTTGCCAGAAGTATTCAGTTTAACTCGTTTTTTTGGTTGGAAGTCAATCTGAAGGCAGTATAACTCCCACTGTATTCGCATCATTAGTTGATACGAATGAAGTTGCGCGTAACAGTAGCTTATGTGAGAAATGAGTAGAGAATCATATTACCTGCTAAGTGATCATGATTGATACGAACCGGATTGTTTTCGATCGCATGGGCCACTGAATTGGTGATCCACAAATCTGGCTTCAAATGACACTTCTGTGACTCCGACCTGAAGGAATTCCGGTTCGTTAAGCCTGTCTGACCGCACTCAGTCGATCCATTGACTTGTACCCGTTTTTTTCCACACGACCTTTGCACATGATGTCTCATATCTTACATATTAGCCGAGAGGACAAACACAGAAGGCTAACTCTGTTCACCATAGCCTTTCTTTTCATGATCCGGTTGAACTATTCTTCTACTGGTTTGATGCTCCAACAACGTTAAGTATTCGTAGTGTGCAAAAAGCAGCCAATAGTCTAACAGTGTTGCATTTAGTCCATAGCTGATACAGAACATGACGTATACGTATTGACAACTCCGAATGAAAGAATTCTAGAGATTAAAAACAGAACAAACAACAAAAACAGTTTACTTGTTCTTGAAAGAATATAAAAGGGCAATCAATGGTGGAAGTTTAGAGAACATGAAATTTCGATACTGTATGCCAGGAATATGCTTTTTGTTACAGAACTGCGAGCTTTTTGTTCACCTATATCTGTGCCTATAAACATATTTCATTTAGAACCAGGGTAGAAAGCGAGAGTTAATACAAAAGAATTTGTTTAGGAATTGTCAGGAAAGTCAGATTTCTGAAAGTAACCAATGAATACCCGAAACCTACTGAGGCGCTCAAATCCGATAGATGTTAACCAGATGGACAACGCACCTTCAATATGCAGCTCGTCACTGCCCTGTATCAAATCCAGACAGCGTGAGTCAGCGTTGGATCAAGGTCAAGCAGTGTCTTTTCGGCTTGAGGCCGTTGTATCTTCCCACTCGTACGCACGCACGCTCTCGAACTCGCTGTTGTGTTCCCTTCCGTGAGTTTTTTCCAGCACAAGGCACTGAAGCGGGGTCAGTAGTCAGATACAGTAGACTGGCAAATCAGCAGATATAAAAGGAACAATACGCTCTGCAAATAAAATCTATCAGGGCGCGCCCAGACAAGAAAAAGCACATGTGCAGAGTGACGCATCATCAAGGTCACCATCGTTACGACACGTCCGGAAAATAGGTGAGTAGGCGGCTCCCACCAAGCACGGCTTAGCAACACACGACCAGCGTAGTGGGCCTGATAGTGTTCACGACCGGAACGCCACCACTGGCTGTACGGAACGAACAAGTGGACGACCATATTTGGCCAATTAGTCATCCTATATATTTACGCAGGCGCTCTGTATGTTTTGTCCTGGCAATACAGCCATGTCCCGAGTTCTCTGTCTTCTCCCTATCGCGTAGTCTGGCAGGCTCAGTGCAGGCGTAACCCATAGACGACCACGCAAGATACAACATAATCTGATTCACAATATGTGCACAAGGTGCATTTCCAGTGCCACCGTCGCTCCAAATGATGATGAAGATCTCGATTTCCACGAGTTCTTTGACGAGATTCGACGGTGTAAAACAGGTCTCAAAAGTTACCCACGTGCATGTAGGAAGTCTGTGGCGTGAGATGAATCTAACAGCAAACTGATGTTGAAAAGTAAATCAACCCAGAAGTTTTATTCACAGTCAGCACTGCTGATATCACACATACTCAGGAACTTCAAGTACGAAGAATAGATGGTTGAAAAGAAGTCCAACTCGACCGTTGGTACAACAGGTGACAAAAACCCAGCTCACAACTTATTAGGTGCTTGGTATCCTATAAAGGCTGATGCTTTCTAGGACAAAACACTGAATATTCAAATGATACTATGAAGGGTTTTGGTGTTGCGGACGGGCTATACACCTAATCCCGATTGGCTTTGTACTACTTATAGATTAAAAGTAGCACAATCGAAAAATCAGCCTTCGGTCCTAGGTCCCGTTTCCAGTGGGCTTGAGTGGAGCCTAGGTTACTGCCCGAATCTAGTCTCGGTTTTTCGAATTTACTTCGGAAAGTTGCTTTATTCGTTTCATGAAGCGAAGGATACTGCCCCGATATTTTGTTGGATTTGCTCCGACGATTTCTGCAAGGCTTACCTCACATCAAGTCGGACTCACTCGCAATAATGTGCTCACGATCGTGGTGGAATAAGACTTGAGTTCGAACGACAGAAAACCGGTGTGTCTAAAATATAGGCTAACTTGAATGCTCACCCAGTTTTATTTTGTGCACAAATAAGTGAGCACCATAAACAATGTTAGGGGGCATGACTAATATCTATCCATTGTACTTCCTTTCACCCGGTCAAACCCTTCCCTTGTCTGCTTCTGTTTACTGCGGCTACCTCATAGACTCGATATGTATTGGTAATCCTCATAAACTTTTAACACTTGACTTGTCCGATCAATTTGGTCGACCATCCTTTACGTGCTCTTTCTGACCCTTTTGCGTTAGCACGTGTTGTACCCGGACGTGTGTAGCAAACTAAGATCGATTTGCCATCTACTCCGGGCTTTTTTTTTACTAGCACTACTTCGTGCAACAGTTTAGACGGAAACACCCATTATTTGAGAATGGTACCACCTTTATTGCGTATTTTATCCATGTAGTACCGCATCATTTGATGAATCTCAAGAATCCATAATTTTTTATTTTGCGCGTCACTCAAGCGGGCTTTCCTGAATACGTCGAATTATTCTACATCCATAGTGAAATGAAATGATACGTACTAAAATTTTGACAGTGAATCAGCCCTGGTATAACTGCAAAATAGAGAATTTGCATAGTAAGTGCATGACGTCATGACCTAATCAAGAAAGTGTTAATTTCTTTCAGAAAATTTGACCGCGGAAATTTTCATGGTATGTCAGGTTGGAATAAATGTCACAACGGCTTAACGGAGCTATTTTTGATCCTGTTGCTCACCTCCATCTCTGCTCAAGCAGTTGGAAACCGTGCGGGAGATAATAAGTAACCGACTGTCTAGTTTCAAAAGACTGACGAGCTAACTTTTGTCAGCAATTTTGCGCTGAGCTAAATTTAAGAGAAGGTTCTTTAACAGTGCTCATTGAAATCCGATGAACTTCTCATTTTACTAGTGTTAAAAGATGTAAGCGCACCCCTTCTTGCTCGATTTCCAAGAAGTCACTCGGGATTTGTGCATTAAGTAAGAGGTCTTTCTACGTCGGTTGATGGCGACAGAAACAACCAGGTTATAATAATCTGCATATTTGGAGAATCAAGAATGCTGATTTCCCTAAACAAGAACGGGATGACAACGTTCGATTCTATAAACCGTCCACCCCGATTGCTCGACGGCTTGCAGTGGTTGTTTTTTCATTTCACAGTGCAACCAGGATGCTTTTGAAACACATCTGCTATACACAGCAGCATTAGTGTCCATATATTTATGCCTTGGTGCCTGTGTGCCCCTGTAAGGCTAGCCCCAGAACCAAGCAGATCAGACTCTCCGATAGTTTGATCGCATTAAATTGGCTGAAGAACAGGGGGTCGGCCGTCCGACTACCAAGAAGACGATTGAACCAAAGGAACAGCTGAGGACAAGCAAAG